TATTCTACTCAAGGAAAAGGATTTGCTAATTTTGTCTAATTTCATATCAATTTCATTTGCAAAGCTGTTAGGCCAAATGATGCGAAACAGTAGTGTTATGAATATAGTAGCTATAGCAACATACTGCAGTGCCAGTAATGACTTTTGTAGATCTTTTATATTGTATTTTTCAATATCAATGGTGTTTGTTGTAGTGTTGGAATATACTGCATAATCTTGTATTCCATTTTTGTCATTTGAGTGAGGAAGATGTTTTATCTAAAATGAAAGGTCACAAATTAATATTCATTGTCACACCTATGTGCCACCAATGTACATGTACATTATAAACTGCCAGTAAATTTAATTTCCTCAAATAAAAGCCCAGACGTCTATTTCTTAGGATCTTGAAAATTAAAAAATTGGGCTAATAGCAAGATTTCAACTAGTGACCCCACGCACAAGACTTTCAGAAGCCAAAGAAAGTATCTGGAAGGCAACTATGTTCAATTTTATTGCTATGCCGGAATTTATCTTTTATTTGAGGATATATAGCTAGAGTTTTATTTTGCCAAAAATTTGTGCAAGTTAAGCAAAGTTTACTAGTATCATCCTCATATAATCTTGGTAAGTTGGTATCACATACGCATATTACTGTATACCAGTTTATTTTTGCAGTTAAGACTTATTTTTCACATTTCGGGTGTTACTAGCACACCTTATTTTTTACAGTATATACATACTCACCCATGTTGTTAATAGTTGAAGATTATCCTTTTTATTCTCTTCACTGATATCTTCACAGAACGGTGGGCTGATGATTAATGAAATGCTTGTATAATTGAACTGAAACAAGTCAAAAACCAAAGCATTGATGAGCTCATACTCTTGTAAGAATAACAGAGCACTGCTTGCCCATTTGAACTGAAATACTTCATCTGTAGAGCAATATGTCTTGTTTTCACTAATGCAATAGTTGACGTGAGCAACTTGAGTATCCTGACTGTTTGGAGGATAAAATGTACTCAGTATTATTTGACTGTTGTTTGTGTCATTGTCACGAAGTGCTCTTTCCAATTGAGCATAATTACGGATGCAGGAATTATTCTCAGCAGCATTGGTAGAAGGAAGGAGGAAGAGTAGCTGAACTGCAATGCAAATGAAGAGGAGAGCCATTGCATCTTTTTTGGACATTGTCCTATAGACCAAATGAAAGGACAGAATCACACTGCATACACACATCATGTGTATGTTCCCTTTATATAAAATTCACTCATTGACAGGAAATAGCAATAGAGCGGAAGAGTAGAATAATTTACACTTGATAGCCAGCTTGCTGTCATTCAACGGAACAGAGCAGTCCAATAACTGTTACATTGTTCTTCTCTTATATGGTAGGGGAGTTGTACCATTGTAAAAGCATCAGACAATTGTGCATTATCTCAAAACAATGCTTAATTGTA